GAGTGATACATGCGCGAGGTTCGTTGAACCCCTGAGATGGTGCTAATGACTTATTGTGGTGATGGTCAGCAATAGATCAATATGTATGAAATCCATAACGTATGAAGCATCTGTGGCAGGACGTGTATGGTTACCTGGACGGTAATTGCTCTGAGCGTGAATGCTCCGTCCGATACTGAATATCGGGATGCTTCGTAAGGCATTGTATTTGTTGCACGTCATGCTAATTTGCTGGAGTATTGACTGTTGTTTGCATATGACATGGTGTTTGCTGGTGAAATGCGTGCCGATGTTTTGTATTAGCTGGCTCAGCTGGGTGTGTGTACAGTATGCGTTTTGTATTAACCAACGAATGTTTTTTAAGATGCCTATCTTTCAGTATATATTTTATGGGTATCTGGAAAAATCAGCCAACAACAGCATTTTGACATTGTCCTTAAGAATAAAAGTCACTTTGCTGCGGCCCGCGTGGACCGCGTCGCGTACGGTGTAATGGTGCCAGGGACGGCGGCGGCCAGGCTGGCGCCGGTGTTAGGGCCACGTGCAGGCGATTCCGTCTGCCAGTGTGCAGCGCCGGCCTCGCCCGTCGGCCGGGACTCGAGCGCTGTCTCAAGCGGCGCCGCTCCGCTGTTTTCAGGTGGATCGGAGTTCAGAGTCGAGTGCTGCGCCGCCCAGCCGCTGCAGGTGAGGGTCCGCCACTGCCGCGGGGGCCAACGGATCGGCGGGTGCGCCGCGCTGACACCGGCACACAGACCAGCCGCATTCCGACGTTGTCTCATCACTGTGCATTCAGACTCTAACTGCCGCCAGTTTTGGTCCGGTTGCGGACTGGGACCGCCCCAGGACCCCTACCAAACAAACGTCCCCCAGGACCCCAGCAAGGACTCGTGCTACCGAACAATGCGGCGGGATCGTAGCGCATGTCTGCTTGAAACGCAGCGGTCTGGCCGTGATAGTGGGACGCCAGTCCGGCGTCATGTTTGGTAGCCGATTTCGTTTGACGCGGCTCTGGCCTGGCGTGCCTGGCCGGCTTCCGCGTGATCGCCATCGCGTAACTAGAGGGCACACAATGCTAGAATGCGGCTGATCACGTGACGACCCGCCCTGCCCGCCCTGCTCGCCGTGCACTGGGCATACGCGTCTCCCCAAGCCAGCGACGCCACTGCGGCCCCGGGACGAGATGGGCTTTCGGCGCTGTGCGCTGCGGCGCAGCCGATATTTGCAGTTTTCTACTGGTCCTGCCATCTAGCGATGCGTTTTTGGTATAAACTTGCGCGAACACCGCGTTGACTCGGATGCCTGGCTTAAATCGATGCGTCTCGTCATGCCCCGCGGCCCAGAACTCGCACGGCTTTCATCGGCCGGAATCTGTTATGGGCCTGCACCCACGGCCAATCATGGTGCATGCCTGCTGAGACGTAATCATATGTTGCCATGGACGAGTATTTTATCCTTTGCAAACAATAAGTGATAACATCAGTGCCTTCTACAGCTCACGGATGTCCTATGGAGTGACAATCAGTAGGAGTTCTCTTTGTCCCGCACAAAAAGGGATGAAAACTAATTTTTTCCTGTCGCGCGTTCCCTTAAGACCCGGCGAGGGGTCGAAGGCCTTCCTTAAGTGGATCGCAAATTGGATCGCACGATCCAGCTGGGGCTGCCGGATCGTCAGGTGGCGGGACGAGTTTTAATAGCCTCTTCCTGGTACCTGGGGCCCGGAGAGACTGGCGGGGCGAGAGCTGCCGGCGCGCCGTGTTCGTCGAACGCTGTTCCCCGGGGAGAAGTGCGCGCCGTTGTTGCCTGGGCCGAGCGTGCCGTAGTTCGCCGGCTAGCGGGCCTTCCAGCTCGGCTGGCAGGGTCGACTGTCAGCTGGCCTTCCAGCTCGGCTGGCAGGGCCGGCTGTCAGCTGGCCTTACAGCTGGCAGGGCCGACTGCCAGCTGGCCTTCCAGCTCGGCTGGGCAGGGCCGACTGTCAGCTGGCCTTACAGCTGGCAGGGCCGACTGCCAGCTGGCCTTCCAGCTCGGCTGGCAGGGCCGACTGTCAGCTGGCCTTACAGCTGGCAGGGCCGACTGTCAGCTGGCCTTACAGCTGGCAGGGCTGACTGTCAGCTGGCCTTCCAGCTCGGCTGGCAGGGCCGACTGTCAGCTAGCCTTACAGCTCGGCTGGCAGTGCCGACTGTCAGCTGGCCTTACAGCTCGGCTGGCAGTGCCGACTGTCAGCTGGCCTTACAGCTCGGCTGGCAGTGCCGACTGTCATCTGGCTTACGGGCTGGCAGTCCAGCGACTTGCGTTGAATTTGCAAAGCATTATAACATTATAACATTTTCAAAGTGAGGAAGCGGTGCGCGCTCGTCGCCTCTCCTGTATGTGCCAGGGGCGCTGAGCGTATGGCTGGGACGAATGAAGGCGGGACGCTGAGTGCAGCGTGCGTCGGACACTGTCGACTAGGCGCAAGGCTCAGCCCGGCCGAACAGAGCTCTACGCATGTCCGGACAGGGCTCAGCCTGGCTGAACAGAGCTTTACGCCTGTCCGGACAGAGGTCTGCCTGGCCGAACAGAGTTGTACGCTCTGGGCAGGCTCTGCCCGGCCGGACAAAGCTTTGCACATGGCCGATGTTCCTGGCGTGCGGCCGCCACTGAGCCCAACACTAGCTGCCATCTATTTTTGACGATGGCTTAATCAGACAGAAGGCTCAGCAACCTTCCCCGTGTTCATGAGCCATAACCGTACATGTCCTGAAATATTCTGATGATTTCGACTCGCCTTTGCATCTGTGATACTAACCGACAGCACACAGTTTGTGGGTCAGTGTCATAGGCCAGTACCACGTGCACGGACGCTCTTATGGTCCCATCGGAGGCGCGTTGGCCGCAGTCTGAAGGTGAACACATTCGGACCACTATCGACATATGACGCTGACCGTAGCGTTGCATGTGGCGAGAGGGGCCAAGATGCCGTCCCCAAGCAGCCATTTGTGCCGACAGATAATGTGCCGACGATGATGTGACTGATAACCGTCACGGCGCGCCGGAGTCTGATGATCCCCTTTAGTGAGGAGCGTCGGGGTCTGATGATCCCCTTTAGTGAGGAGCGTCGCAGCCAAGATTGAGCGAGGGATGCGCCCACGCAAAGCGCGCGGGCCGCCGTCAGCGTCTGACACCGAGGGTGATGATGCAGATGAGACTCGGGACGGATCCCGGGAGCGGCCGACGCCTGTCCATGGAGTTAACACGGACGCGACCGGACCGGGCTGGCTCATCTTGGTGCCCCTAATGAAGACGCGCACCACGTCGGCCGACAACCGGCTAACGAGATATGCTGACGTACCACGGGAGCGTTGACTAGTGAGCTAATGAAGCACCGGCTCCCGGCCGCCTTTCAGGGTGAAGCCGTCCGTCTCCCGGTGCAGGTGGGCGCTGCGGGCCTGAGAGCGCGCACTGGCGGCGGCGCTCACGCCCCTGATCAGAGGGCTGGTTTGCTGTTTCGGGGGGTGCTGCCTGCCGCCGAACCGTCAAGTCGTCGTGCCACCGGCTTTGGGGCTGGCGTTCCTGGCCAGCAGGCAGGCAGTCCGTACTCGGTGGGGCGTAACTCGAGCATCTGGGGCTTATTCGGCAAGCACTGGCTGCCCCTGGGCAGACCCTGTCGCCTGCTGTGGGCCTACTGTCTTAGCGGACGGCCGCTGGCCCACACTGGCCAGGATATGGGGGTATGGTCGGCGAGGAAGGGCCGTGACCTGACGCGTTCGTCGGCGCATATCCCGCCGGTTATGGCTCGGCCTGTGCCGCACCGGCGGCGTCGAACCGTCGAAACTCAGCGCGGGCTTCGTGCGCCGCCTGCCAAATCAGGCTTCGGTGGAATATGTCACCGGCGCGCCCGAGTTGGAGGGGTGTGACCGGGCTCCCTGCAGCTGCCTTCTGACAGACTGGTCTGTGGACTGCTTTCCGGTTTCCATTGTTTTCATGAATGGACTTGATCGTGGACAGAATATAGACATAGTGTAAGCCAAGGACGTAGCCAGCGGGATGGGGGGGGGGGGGGGGGTCGCGCCTCGTCTGAGGAGTTGGTGTCTGGGGCCCCTCTCCAGATGCCCGAAAGGGACACCAATATAACACCCTGCGCAAGATATCCGTTCAGAAACAAATATTTCCACAGCATGAATGTGAATGCTGCCACAAAATACCAAAGTGAATGCTGCTAACCGTTTTAACTAGCACTTCCACGGACGCGTTTTCACTGCATTATTTGGGCTCGCGCCGGGCCTGAGCTAACTCGTTGCTGGCTGCATCCCTATCATCGCGTGCTATTGTGGTTAGCGTTGACTGTCGTCGGCAGAGTCGCCCGTTTCAGCTGTAAGGACTCGATGAACCGGGACAGAACAGGTACCCGTCCCGCAACGGGCGCCGGCGTGAACCGGGACAGAACAGGTACCCGTCCCCGCAACGGCGCCGGCGTGAACCGGGACAGAACAGGTACCCGTCCCCGCAACGGCGCCGGTGTGAACCGCGACAGAACAGGTACCCGTCCCCGCAACGGCGCCGGTGTGAACCACGACAGAACAGGTACCCGTCCCCGCAACGGCGCCGGTGTGAACCGCGACAGAACAGGTACCCGTCCCCGCAATGGCGGCGGTGGCTCACACTGCGCCAGAAATGTTGGGTTCACGGCTGACACTTCGCGCCAGAAATGTCGGGTTTACACCTGACAGGCGTCTTCATTGAAATTTGACGAGCTCGTGCCCATACCAGCTGGTCTTGCTCTTGTCATTGGCCTCACTTCTGGATGCATGATAACAAATGGATGACAATTTTAGCACTGGTTTCAGGAGGCGGAACACGGCTGCTCGGGCCGAGCTTCGCCGTGCTCTGTTATATTCGGGCTCAGGAAGTGGTGCTCCGCCGTGCTCCGTTAGATTCTGAACTATTCGAGCCTTACATTCCCCGTCCTGAGAGCCGCAGAGGGTATGATGGTGACTATCAAGAGCTGTTCGGCTTCATTCGACTTCAGACATGTACATAGGAGGCGATGTAATCGCCATTTGCCAACGTTGGTTCGTGATTGCTCGTATACCGTACATATGAGTGGGGCCAGATCAGCTTTGAATACAACAGGGTCTTGAGCTGGTGCTGTCAATACTTGATCGCCAGTGGCTCGTGGCAGGCTGTCATTGGATTATTTTACCATTTTTGGGATTAAGAAAGCCACAGAACTCGAAAATTCAACCACAAATTGCGCGTTTTTAATGATGAACTTAACGATTATCGTTAGGCCACCCGGGAGTGAAGAATGCACTTTACTCGGTATTTGGTGTTGTGGACCCGCAAATGAACTGTCATTGAGGTCGGTGGGGTGTAGATCCAAATACCTCTGGGTAGTTTTGGACCGTTTTTTGTTTGTTTTTTTACAGCATATAGTAATATAAAAAAGATGCTTATGGAGATAAACCCCAGTAACAGTAAGGCGTAGTGGCGTCCTTCACCAGCTCTATGGTCCATGATATGACCACGAAAGGCGCTCAGCGTCTGGTTTTTCTGCATTGTGAGTTGAGAGTTATCTTGCTGAGTTGTTGATCTTTGATACACCAGGATGTACTGGTTGGACGCGTTCTGAAGCATATATTGGTGATATGTGCTTCAGAACGTGATGTATGCTATTGTCAAAGTCGACGTTTGGTGCTGTGCTTATG